GTGTTGTGCGGTGCTCCTTGGACCACACGGCAAGAAGGAGAGCAAATCCCATTCTAAGTGGGATTGCTCTTGATTTGTTTCCTTGTTCATATTTAGTGATTTGTTTCCTTGTAGGAATAGAATTCCTTTTGTGTTTTGGTCTTTATCCTCTCCTATAAATAAAGGAGAAACTCCTTGTACTTAGCAGAACAATTCAATATACAGAATATTTTCCCTCTTATTATTTTCTTCAAAATGGATGGCATAGTTCTTCATCAACAAGTAAGGGTTCCACTCTCCAACAACCCTCAAATTTTTTCATGAACCCACTTTTCACTTGCTTGAATTTCATCTAACAGAAGAATGAAAAAAATTGCATGAACTACTTGTAAGACAAATGCTCTTTTGGTGTCCACACTATAGAAGATATGAAGATTGACATCGCTAGTGTCTCACAGACAATTAGTGTCTGGCATGGTTGTCAACCTTGGTGTCATCCTTGGGTTATATTATTTCCCTTTATATATATATATACCCAAATGCACGAATAATAGAGAATTACCGTGCGATCTTCTCTATTCTGGTCTACTAAGACATGGACTGATATCGTTCCCGACCACCAAAGGAATTTCCACAATGCAGCTTGTTCCAGTTCCACGACCTGCCTTGATCCTTCATCAACCAATACCTTCCTTGATATCACCTTCTGATACGTAGATATACGCAAAAGATGTTTTTCATAAAATCTTACTTTTAAGAAATGAGTTTAATAAATCAATTAAGTCATTCATGTCAGCCATGATCATACTCTATCTCTTTGATATTTTAGACAATTCATCATGATTTCTTTATTGAACATGCGTGATGTGAGATCAAAACTTCTAAATCTGTTGATACTAGACATGAAATTTCATTGGAGCACTTAACAGGATGTGATTACCTGAATGTTTTTGAAAACCTTCTTATTTTCAGGGTCAGTTACAATGTTGAAAACCGCATCCGGTGGCAATCCAACGTCGACTTTCAAGTTCAGGTTGCATAGAGAACCTTTAGGTACGGTCACCTGTATAAGTCATTCAAGAGATCAAAGGACACCCAGGTGCACAAAGCATCCCCTGTTGACAATGGTCCTGGTAAGGGTCCCACCAATATATGTGACTCTGGCAACCCTTGCAATTTTGCAAGAAACAATGCTAGTTAACTTTAAAGATGACACCAAAGTTGACAACACTAGAGACAATCACCCACATTGAGTCGTCGGTGAAACACCAATGTTGTCATCCATGGTGTGACTTCTGCAAGTGGCCGACTTCCAAAAGTCAAACCCGTTACCTCATGACATACAACATGAGATCAAGAGAGTAAAAAAAACAAGACATGAATAAAATAAGTAAGCTACACTCAAATTCCACAAGGAATATGTTAAAGTATAAAACTTCAAGTTGGTTCTTTAACCTAGAGGTCACAAATTATGTCAATTTTGCAACATATGTCAAAATATGTCAATTCTTTGACAAAACATGTCAATTTTGCAATATCAATCATGTAACAAGACATGACTAAAACAAGAATCCATTCTTGTTCCAATATATGTATTCCATTCCATGCAATCCAAAATGGAGACATTAGTCTGACCTCTATGTGTGGAGGATGATCAGTCCATGTAGGATCATCTTTCCACGGTTGCATTTGCTTCTCCAGATCAACATCTAAGACCATTGATTCCATTAACGCATCTCCATCACCTCTCAGCCTTTTAAAGTTTGTCTGGAAATCGCAAAAGTTAAGCTTTTAAAGAACAGGAAAACATGGTTATAGAGCAATCATCATCTTACTAACAAGTGCTACCAACCTCCATAGACTTTCCAATTTTCGACTGCAAATCTGAGAAAAAGGAATTCATAGCTGAAATGGACTATATCGGGTGTCAACTGCTCTCGTCTTTTGGGATTTCAGCCTTCTGCAAATCTTATTTCATCTTCCTCTGCAACAGCCTAAATTAATTCTAAATTATTATTATTCATTTCCATCAAAACCAAGGTCAATAGCAAGTTCATTTGAAGAAATGAAACATTTCATCCTCACCTTTGAAATCACTGTTTGTTCTGCCACATGCAACAATGTTAGAAGCCATCTAGAGTACTCCCTCTGTCTCTAAGTCCAGATTTGGTTGTCCACTTTTGTTTTGCCCATAATTAATGGCCAGTATACACTATTTAGTGAAACAAAACATGGGTAATTAACAAAAACATCCCAAGGATGATACATTAAGCTTCCTGACATCAATGGAGCATTAACCAATTCCAAAGTCACTTCTATATACTTACATGATGACTCTTTTCATTCAAGCCCTAGATTCTATAGGGATTCAAGCCCAAGCTTCAAGAACAATTCGAATGCGAAAAAATAACAAGGACCCAGTTCAAGAACCACCTTGAATTGCTGGGGGGGAAGTATGAATAAGATTCAGAACCAAAATTAGAGACAAAGATGGAGTTGAGTGCCAGATAAAGTGTGTGTGTGTGTGTGTGTGTGTAGAAATAGAGCAGAAAGCAGATTCACTTACAGCAAAAATGATATTTTTGGGCAGAAAAGAAGCTCAATTCTTTGAAGATCTCTGCTCGTCGATTCTTGAATTTATCTCTTATTGCCCAGTTGAAGAATCCCTTTCAATGTGCTGAGTTGAGTGGTTATTGTTCTCCAGTCGACTCTACCAAAATCCTAACTGCAATTATTGCATTTGCCTTGTTATCTCGTTGGCTGGCTTCTTCTTTTTTTTTTTTTAATAGTTTTGCATAAATTAATGTTAAAAAGTAGTTAGAAAACTTTTTATCCCTCCCTCCTAGAAATCTTTTTTGTTTTTTTCTTCTTTCAAAAAAAAAAAGAAAATCTTTTTTTTTATTTTTTGTAAAATTTGACACAGTTTAACTATAAATTACATATAATTTAAATAAATAAATGTTAATAATTTTATATATCAAAAATATATTCAATGATGAACTCAATTATATTAAATTTATATTATAATTAAATATAATTTTATTACAAATTTCGTGGTTAAAAACCGTCATAATTTGACCAAAAAAATCAAAATATAAAGATTTTTCTAAGAAAGAGACAGTACTCCGTATCTTTCATTATTTACATAAAATCAAATATTAATCATCTTTAAAATTTATTTTTGTTAGTTAAATTACATAAATATTACGGAGTATCGTATACTCTCTATGATGTCTGAATTTATTTGTTCTTTATTTTTTTTGAATGTTATTGACTCTATTACAAGGTAGTATCTGTTCATACTATTCTCAAGCTAATGACGCACAAAGAGCCAATGCTACTGCCTTCGCTGGGACTCGAACCTGGGTGAACTTCCCCATGCATCCTGGGGAGTGGGCTTGCTACCACTCAAGCCAGGGGAGAAGTTCTATTTGTTCTTTAATTTGATATACTCCCTCTGTCTATTTTTTATCTACCCGTTTCGAATAACGTAAAAAGTCTCGTCCTTCCAAATTTACTTTTTTTTACAAATTAATATATCAAAAAGATACAAATTGCATTATCCAAAACTACATTTAAAAAAAACTATTCAAAATTACATTACAAGAAATATACGGAGTATTAGAAATTTTAATTGAAGTTGATGTCATATGCTTTGACGCCATCATCACGGAAAATCCCAAAATGCTTCTCCACCTCATTGCCACCCTTCCCATTCTCATCAAACAAGTCAAACAAGAAAACCTCTAACCCTAACCCTGGCCTTTTAGGGGTTCCCACATTTCCCAATGCCCTTGCCACAACATTCCCATTGTAAGCCAATGCATTGCTCAAAGTCGCCGCCTCGCCGCCCGACGTCGGCCAACCGGTCTCGCTAACCACGACCGACACCTCCCCAAACCCTTCTCGCTCCAGGGCGTACACGAACGCGTCAACCGTCGCATCGAACATGTTGTCGTACCTTAAATTGTTGTCAGTTTCCGTGTCAGTGGACCTGAATAGGACTCGGTCCAGTGACACGAACTTCTGCTCGCTGACATAGCTGAAGTACGGGTACACGTTGACCATGAGCGGTGACGTGGCGTCGCGCAAAAAATGTAACAATGGCAATAGGAGTGGGGTTAGGGTGGGGTCAAACGCCCCAGCGGATGGAGGGTAAGACCTAGAGAGAATCGACGCGGCGTGTGGCGTCGACACCTTAATCCACGGAAACCCTAGCTTTTGTAGGGCTTGATGGACATTGACCATCGCGTTCACGAGGAACGGGGAGTAAAACGATTGGTCGTTTTGGAAGATTTCATTGCCGACGGCTAAGTATACGACTTGGGTGGGTGGAATGTGGGCGAAGATGGTGGATTGGAGCCATTGTACGGAGCTCTCCACGTTGTCGTTGGCCAGCGTGGGGAGAACTTCGTTGGGCACGCCAACCATGAGCTCGATTCCGGTGCCGGAAAATGCGTTTAGAGCTTCGGCATTGGGATTGAACAGCCGGATTCTTGAAATTCCGGTGGACTGGACTGCCTTGGCGACGGCTGACGGCGGTGGGAGGTTGTCTCCTACTCTCCCATAACAAACTCCAACCGGTGCACTAACTGCACATATGGAAAATAATCATATATAATGACAGCAAACAAATAAAACATTAGAATAAATCCAATCGTACGTTTAGCTAATTACATTACTAAAAGTGCAAAACCAATTAGTCCATTCAATTCCTAAATTGTCTTTTAATTAAATTTTCTTGAATGTTAGCATACGCTTATAAAAAAAGTTAATTTGACTATTGTATTTCATAATTGAATAAATTAAACTGGACAAGAAATAAAATTATCATTTGATGGATACATATTAGTCATAAATGGAACATTTATTGGACTGACCATAAATTATCTTCATGTATAGTACTCCCTCCGTCCCTTAATAATGTTCCATTTTTGACTTTTGGAGGAATTAAGGGAGAGATATTTTTGTGTTGACTTTCCAAAAATACCCTTGATGTGATGTGTAAAAGTAAGATGTGATAGGTAGATTATTAGTAAAAAGGTATGATGTGATAGGTAGGGTATGAAAAAGTAAGGGGTAAAAGAGGTTTTTTAGGAGAAAAGAGAAGTTTATTTAGGGACAAAGAAAAAACGAAAGAGGAACTTTATTTAGGGACGGAGGGAGTATTTAATTGTCAAACTTTATTTATTTTCAGAGTTTATTTTTCGTTGTCAATTTGTTGAAATAATATAGACATGTTACTTCTTGTTTTATCTGTAAATCATTTGATATAGTTTTTCAACTCAAAGTGGTATAAACCCATTTATATGTTTCTTTTCAAAGTTATCGATTAGGGATATATACTTTAAAATAGTTTACACTGCAATAGAGTTGATAATATTTTGAAAATTAGTCGAACAAATAGCCTATATGATTGCTTGAAATTAATCTTTTAATATGGTTTAACTAAATACTCCTTCCGTCCCAGAAAAATATAAGAAATTTTGATTTTTAAAGGATTTAAGGGGAGTGTTTTTTTATATTGAATTTCTGAAAATGTTCTTAGATGTTATGGGTACGTAAAAGTAAAACTTGATGGATAGATTAATAGTGAATAGATGTGAGATGATACATAGGTTAAGAATTAGTAGGATAAAGTAACTTTCTAATAAAAATGAGAAAAGTTTTTTTGGGATGAATGAATAAAAGAAAAGAGAAATTTTAAGGGGCGAAGGGAGTATAGTATATCTAAAGTCAAAAGTTTTTAGCATAGCACAAAATAATGTAATAAAATAAAATTTTAAAAATGAATTAAGTATTTTAAAAACCTGTTGGCTGGGGAGAGAGGGAGAAGACATAAGAATAGAATAAAGGAATAAATAATGGAAGAAGAATTTGATGAGTAGCCATTGCTATATTTTAATGTAAGTTCAAAAAAAAATTATTATGTGATGATGAGTGCCAATGCAGCTGAGCTAATATATATGACAACATATAAATGGATTGAATGTGTTGAAAATATGAATGAATTGTTATTAATTATAATTATATTTAATGTTCGTAGCTTGCATGTAGTTATGTTTTAGGTTTGAAATGATCATTATGAGTGACTTATTTAGATAGATGATTGTTTGTTTTAAGGTATTGTGTTACGTTAACTAATATAACTAGTATTTTAACCCGTGCCATGCACGGGATGGAATGAATTTTTTGTTTTGAATGATTGATTTTTCTTCGCTACAACATTTTTAAAAAAATCAAAAAAATAAAACATCAACCTTAAAAGTTAACATATGATAAAATATACTCCATCCGTCCACAAAACCTCTCTTTTTCACTTTGAAAGGATATAAGGGGAGTATATATTGGTGTTGAGTAAATTAATAGTGAAAAAATGTGATGTGAAAGATATGTTAAGAATTAGTTGGGCTAAAAGTAATTTTTTAATAGAAATGAGAAAGGTTTTTTGGGACGAATGAAAAAAGAAAGGAGAAATGTTTTTTGGCGCAGGAGGGAGTATTATATTTTCTAATGAAAATTATACTGTATATATATTTGAAATTTAGCATGTCAGGCTCTTATCTAAATTAAAACATTTTAAAAAATTAAGGTATATACTCCCTTAGTTCATGAGTATTTGTCCATTTTTGAATTTTTTGGCCAATATTGGTAAACTTTGACTTCAAATAAATAAAAATGATATTAGATATTGATACATAAAATAGTGTTATTAGATTTATTATATCAAATATTTTTAAAAATATCGTTTTATCTAATTAATAAACAATATATATTTTATTTTATTATAGGTCAAGACTGGAGAAATACTCAGGGACAAAGGGAGTAACATTTTTGTATGATTTATAAGGACTGCCAAAAACATCTAAAACGACTTTTTTTTCTCACTCACTAAATAATAATATAGGTGGAATTATTAAGAGCATCAAACACTTCGTTGCAGTATGTTTCCACAATGATATACCTCCAATCTTAACTTTGTTCTTGATCTAGCATAAAGCCTCATTTACTTCAATTACATCCGCTTCTCTAGGTCTAAAATATCATCTACAATACAAATTATGTGCAGCGATTAAAGCCGTAGATAGTTTCGAGCAATAAAATCGAAACCCGAGACCCTATCGGCCAATCGCGTTGAAGCATCCACATTAATCTTGACATAGACATTATACAACCGCCATTCATAGACAAAAATATGATTCTCCCCACTTTAGTTTAGATTATCAAATAAAATTGATTCATTTCCCCGCATTAATATGATTCTCCTCCCTCATATTGATTAAAAAATATTATTTTTCTTTCCACGGATTAAATAAAAAATATATTGTGACTCTATTATTATTCTCCTTGCATTAATTATGATTCAAAGAGTATGATTCTTCAATTTTGCATCACTGCATTAATTTTGATTAACAAAATAAATATTAATCATCTCTCCCGCACTATTATGATTTTCCCCTCTCGCATTGATTAAAAAAATACCGGAATGATTCTTCTCCCTCAGCACAAGTCAAAATTAAATCTTAGGATTAGCAATCCTATGATTCAAAAAATAAAAATAAAAAATAATTAAAAATCCAATGATTTAGCATTATTTAAAAAAATTAATATAAAAAATATTAGCGATCCTATGATTTTGAATAGAAATTTACAAACATACTTGATACTATTGATAAAATGATGGTTTTTTTTTGTGTTTTTTCTTTTCATTTGAATAAAAAATTAATCCTTTTTAAATTTATTTCATTTAAATATTTGATCATTTTGAAAATAGTCTAGTCGTTTGTAGTATTTTAATGTAGAGATTGAAATATATTTTTATATTTTATTTTATATCAATATTTTATTAGATAAAATCAAAATTAACTTCATTTGAGCATGTCATAAAAAATATGACTTCTTAGATGTTATCAAAGTATCTCTTCTTAAGGAAAAAAATCTCATTTATTCATTGATAATTTTATTATAAAAGTTGCGAAAAATATAAAATTAGAAAAATATATTCCATAATTGAATATACTAAATAATGTTGTAATAATAAAAAACGTTAGTGTAAACATAGTATGTCTTGGTAATACATTTTTTATGAATTTTTAATTATAATTTAATTAAAAATATCATATTCTAATAGATTTTAAAAAAATATTATATTTTTCAATTTAAATCGTAATTAATCTAAAAATTTTAAACCATAAACTTTATAGTAATAAAGTCAAATCATAAAATCAATATATTCAAACTATTAAATTATGTATAATATTTTTTTCTATTGTAATGTATTTATAGTTATTCATCTTTTATTTTTTATATCGTTTAATGTAGTTTTAAAATATATTGTTTGTAATTAGCTACCATTGATACGCCGGAATTATTCAACGATTATAATTCCAAAGAATCGTTGGTTCGTAGTTGTTATGGAATGAAATCTTCAGAATCTATAATCTCTTTGCTAATTTGTGTTCGATTTCGCCCAGAAAAGGAAAGGAGATGATGAAGGAATTTGGGAGAAGAAAAGGAAAGCAGCGTGTGACTCTCTCCACCGAAGAAACGGAAGACTTAGTTTTCTTTTTTTTGGATTGCGTGATTTCTTTTTTTTCCTTTTTGGTTTAGGTTTCATGACACCTCACCTTCTACATCATTTTTTGTTTTCTTAAAAAATGACACATCAGCCTCGCCACATGTCGCACCACAGCTCTGCCAAATGTCACATTCCTGCAGCTCCGACTCTGCTTTATTTATATAAAGGATTAAGAAAGGGCATAAAAAAATATACTCCGTAATTAAGAGAATTATATTGGACCTGCTGGGTAAACAAATTCTTATACTATGTTAGATTCAAGGAATCTGAAAGGGAAAAAAGAAAAGAAAAAAAGTGAAACCAACTTATACTATGTTTGGTTCAGGAATGAAGGTAGTATTTATTTAAAATGACATTAAAAGAGGTTATGCTTTTAAATGAATTTAAGGGGCGTGTATTTTGGTGTTGAATTTTTAAAGATGTTCTTAATCAATGTGATGAGTAAAAGTAGAATTTGATTGGTATATTAATAGTGAATAAATGTAAGGTGAGAGATAGGTTAAAAATTAATAGGGTTAAAAGTGACTTTTTAATAAAAATGATGAGAATAGTTTTTTGGAATAGATGAAAAGAAAAGAAGAAAGTTTTCACTAGAGTATAAAATAAGATATGACAATATTATATTGTGTACTTCCCAATTTGATCTAGAGAATAGAGAACTAATGTCGGGGACTTCACAAATTGATCATTCATTAAATGAAATTAGAAATTTATTTTGGGACATAAAGAAGTACAAATTCATAAATACAATTTAACAGGAACTTGAAATAAAGACGGTAAAAAATGTGCTTCTTCCATCTCATAAAACTTTTTAAATTTCTTATTATACATATCTAATAAACATTTCAATTTGACCTAAATAGATATAATTGTTCTTACTTTTTTTAAATCTAACCAAAGTCATCTCAATTACTTTCTACATCCTATTTAGTTTGATATTTTTCGAGTCCTACTCGTTCAAATTACGGAGTATCATCTTTTTACCTTATTAGTTAAAGGGAGAAAGACCAAAGTAGGACTAAAACATTGAAGATATACCAAAATAGGACTTCCATGTTTTTATTTTTGAAATAGGACTTACATTACCAAACATGGTCATATACATTACCAAGAAAGTATAGTAATTTGCACATGTACACTGCCACATTACCACAATGCAAAGTCACATTACCACAATGTAAAGTCCTATTCCGGGAAAAAAAACATGAAAGTCCTATTTTGGTACTCTTCTTTATGTTTTAGTTCTATTTAGGATGATTTCTATTAGTTAAATTTCTAAAACTTCATCTCCTAAAAGTCAAACAGAAAATATTTTGGAGGAAAAACATTTTCATCTCCTGCATAATTATTCTTTCATGTTATGCACTTATGCCATATATCATTATTCTTTCCGTCATATAAACTTAACGAACCCGTTTGACAACAAATTTAGAGCGCATTAGGGTTTTAAAATGTTATTTAACGATAATAAACGTTAGCGTTAATATTTTCAAAATTAATCTACTTCATTAAAATTTTATCTAACACACAAATGTCACTTTAAATATTATCATCTCGTTACGCATTACGATGTTTAACTAAACTTATTTGAAAATCATTTATATAAAAAATGGTGTAGTAACATAACTATATTATTTTTTCAAATCGGTAACGAAAATAAGCTAATAAAGTAAATAAGTTTGTCCCTTTAATAGTAAACGAAAAGATAATTTTTAAATAGAGGGAATAATACAAAAATATTGTAAAACATATTGTGTCATTGTAAAATATCATATAGCATAAAATATTGGTGTATGCATTTAGAATACAAAATGAGGTACAATTCTTGATATACAAATATCATTTCCCCAATTGCATACCAAATGGAGCTATAGATTGAGGGCTAAATGTATAATAATAAATACTCCGTAATATTTTATTTTTTGAATCAAATAACGGAGAAATACAAGATATCGATTTATAGGTTGGGGAATGTATTATAGAATCTTCCCCATTAATGTACGGAGTATTATAGAATTCTCCCCATCAAGGAACCAATTCAACCAAAGATCAAACTTGTGGTTGTGACTCAAGAAATATTATAACACGTCCTCTCACGTGCAGACATAATCTTTTTTGAGCCTTGCACGTGAAACTTTAATTTTTTTTAAAAAAACTGGGTGACGCTGAATTTCGAATCTGTGACCTTTTTGTGAACAAGACTTTCATACCATGTCAAGAAACCAATAACAATATACTCCGTATTTAATACTCCCTCCGTCCCACTATATTTGTCCACTTTCATTTTTGCACATCATCCAATACACTTCTTTAATCCATTTTATCTTGTAATTTGTATATTAAAAAATTATAGAAATTATATACTCCCTCCGTCCCAAAAAGATTTACACCTTTCAAAAAAATTGTGTCCCACAATCTCCTACCCATTTCTATTAAAAAACCACTTTTACGTCTTACTTTTTCAAACCATACCTATCACATCATACCTTTTTCCTAATAATCTACACATCACATCCTACTTTTACCCATCACATCAAGGGTATTTTTGGAAAGTCAACACAAAATTATTCCTCCCTTAATTTCAACTTTAGTCAAAACGTGTAAATCTTTTTGGGACGGAGGTAGTATTAATAATCTATATGTTAAGACAAATCAAACAAGATCACACATGACTATATTTAGGCTTACACATTGAGAGAATTTCATGAGTCAAAGTGCTTAGATGAACAGTTCCAAAAGTCAAAAGTGGACGAACATAGCGGGACGGAGGTAGTACTAAAGCTTAGGGAGTAAAAGCTTCCGGAGGACACGTTCCGGGTAAGAAGGGCAGGCAGTGAAACATTTCCTACGTACCTGAGCTTTCTTGGATCAAGTGACAAATCCCCATGAAAAAAGTCAAAGAAAAATAATTTAATAGACCTTCAAAGCTTCAATCGGTCGTACTTCACATTTGAGATGCATTCGTTAAAGAAAGAAAAGAATGAAGACTAAATTAAATCACCTGTTTTCAAAAAAAAAAAAGAAGAAGAAGAAGAAGACTAAATCACCTAATAAAGGATACGAAATTAATTTTGAACAAGTTGATCCTAAACCTGATGAATTTCAAGATTTTAAGTGATGACAACCAAAGCCCGAATAAGGGCATGTGGTAATAAGTGGGGTGACCGTCACAAGGCGGGCACTACCAGGCGTGACACCGCGCCGGTGGGGCGTGATTGGGGCACGACCACGTATGGTCACTGAGTGAAGAGGGGGATTTTTATTTTTATTTTTTTAATTGTAACCAATCAATATATAATTTAACACATCATCATACATTTTTTATCACTACATATCATACTAACTCCGTCCCATTTTATATCGCCTGTTTCGGTTTACGATGTTTGACTGAAATTATTTTCAAACCATTTTATATGACAAATGGTATAGAATTAAAAAATAAAAATTACATATTAAAAAACTACATCAAAAGATCTACAAAACTAGTAGTGACAATAATATTTTATTTTATCAAATTGCTAACGAAAATAGAGAAAGAAAGTGAATGAAGTTTGACCCTGTGAATAGTAAACAGGCATTATAATTTGGGACGGAGGGAGTACTATTTTTATCANCCCATTTTATATCGCCTGTTTCGGTTTACGATGTTTGACTGAAATTATTTTCAAACCATTTTATATGACAAATGGTATAGAATTAAAAAATAAAAATTACATATTAAAAAACTACATCAAAAGATCTACAAAACTAGTAGTGACAATAATATTTTATTTTATCAAATTGCTAACGAAAATAGAGAAAGAAAGTGAATGAAGTTTGACCCTGTGAATAGTAAACAGGCATTATAATTTGGGACGGAGGGAGTACTATTTTTATCATACCACATAGTCTAACGAAATTAGTTTTTACTCTCTTAATCCAAAAATGTCATCACAGTTTAATTTTTGTCAAATTGTGCTATACTTTGATTAAAAATCGTGAAAAAATATGTTTAATTGTAACGTAAGTTTAAGAAATTTAGATTCATTCCAAAATATAGTTTTGATAGGGAGATTATCACATTTTTATAACATTGGCCATGAATCTCTTTCTCATTTGTTGATTTGTTTTGGAGAAGGGGTTTGAATTGACTACTTGTAGGCGCTCTTAGCTTAATTGGTGGTACCTAGTAATAAGATCAGTCTTATGTCCACAAGACATGGAGTTTTGTCGGCATTACTAAACAGAGTCTGCACTTTAATTTGGCGGGGCCAAGAATTTACGGAGTAATTAAGGAATTTAATAAGGTTGCCAATGATTTAAATTACTAAGGGGTTTCCATGACATTGGAACGTCATGTCATGAGATGACCTGGAAGCGTTCCCGTGTCCAGTTCGTAAAATTGACGATTCTCACTCCCTAGATAAACCTCTCACTCTCTCCTGACTCGAGACCCAAACACACCTCCACTCTCTTTAATTGCACCCTCAAGTTAATTTTGATTTTAGGTCATAGGTAAAAAAACAATTAACCAAAAAAAATAAAAACTGAACAAATACTTAGGGACGGTGCTAGGTAGTACTTAATTACTCTTTTTCTTTTCGAGTAAAAAAATAAAGTAGCCTTATTAACTTATGACCCATGATCCAAAGATATGCTACTACTAATGAGAGTATTACATTATAAAGTGCAAAAGGCAAATTCTATACTGTTACAAAAACATGATCACATTTTCATCTTTTTCTCACATAGAATTAATATAAATAGGAGCAGATTCTTAATTTAGTCCCTCCCATTAGTACCAACAACATCTCCAAATCAAACTCCTCTTAGCCAAACTAGCTAGCCTACTTTGCTTTTAGTCTCAAGCAAGCTAAGCTAACAAAAGACATTGAAAAAAAATAATGTCCCAATCCCAACCTCAACTTTACCCTCAGGTTGGCGGCGGTGACGGCGGGGGCATTTTCGTCATCCCGACGCCAAAGTTTCCATTCACACCCCCGCCGCCGCCGCCAGACCATTTCACGTGGTCCTACTACTCCAACAGACAAATGGGGATAAGTTTCTGCATTGTGGGGGCCATCTTGTTCTCCGGCATTCTTGCGTCCCTCGCCAGCCGTCTTTTCGGGAAAGCCGGCGACAAAAAGGGCGGCAAGAAGATGGGATCAAAGAAGAAGAAGGGCATGGAGAAGGGGAAGGACAAATTCCCCAATGAGTGGTCAGGAAAGAGCAAAGGGGATATAGAGATGGGGTTTGGCGGGAAGAAGAAGAAGCATGGTAAAAGAAGCTCTTCTAGTAATAGTAAAAAAAGCTCTTCTAGTAAAAAGCACAAGAAGTTACCAAGTGGTGGAGATGTGGAGATATCCTTTGTGTAGAAATCAATATGGAACTTTAGATTTTCAACTAGTTATATTCCATACTATGTAAAATGTTCAATGTTCAACCAGATAAATATAATAAAATTATTTCGTTAGATGCAAAACGTCTTTCCCATTTTGGCGCTAAATGTCTGGGAAGGGCTTTTGAATCGGCTATTCTCAAATAACCGATACAAAAAGCTTTCCTACGGCACCAATTATGGGCGCGTAAACACCATTTTGCATCGGTTTAACAGCCGATGTTAAAAAATTTGTATCAATTGCATCGTTGCTTTTTGCATGCATCAGTTAGGAACCGATGTAAAAAGTCAAAAAATAACTGATTCCATAGGTTTTTTCTGTAGTACTCGAATCTTTTATAAAGTATAAAATATTTTGGTACAAAGAGGGTATAAATTATCGTTTTTGTTCACTTGAAACTCCAAGTATATCTAGTTTGATTTAAAATGTTAAACAAAATAACATAATATAAATACATTGCAACTAAGGGAGTATTTCTTTTTTTTTTTTTCATGTTTTTGGATTGTTTTAATTGTGTTTGAGACTTACAAAATGATGTCACAAAATTCATGCACCTCAATGAAGCAATTCCAAGATTTCAAAAGAATGAAATAAAGTCATTTATATAAAAATATATAGCAACACATCTATCCACATAAAGTCAAACAAAATATATTGTTGTTGTTGTTTTTACAAATATAATATTTCCCCATTTAGTTATATCTATTTTTGTTAATTGCATCAAGTCTCCTCGGAGAAATGGGTCAAGCCTCCTGCATTCAGGGCGTTGGTAACCGCCGCATGGCAAGCCCCCACCGCCTTCTCCGCCTCATCTTGAACCTTGAATGGCCCCACACTCATGTCCACCTATATATCCATGAAGAAAAAAATGTCACACATTTTATGACTTTTTTTTCGATGTGTTTGGACAAAAATATCCTCTGTTTTCTCTTGCCAATTTTGATTGTCTCATTTCTCATGTTTGATTGTCTCATTTCTCATGTTTAATCTTTTTTTTTGTAATACTAGTATTTTGAACAGATCTACTAAATTTGTCATGGTTGTAATACAAGAATTTCTTACCTTGAAGTGATTGAGGGCCCCACTGCACTCGAAGATCCCGGCCCAGGCGGAGTAGACGACGTTGTCGGTCCTGGCGTAGACGCCGCTGCGGATGCGCTTGACGGAGCGGCGCAAGTTGTGGAGGGCGTACTCGAAGCCGCTGTGGCACTTCTCGTCGATGTTCTCCCGGTCCGACTCCGGCACGCTCGGCGGCAGGGCGGACCCGATCGACCGCGCCGCGTACTCCGCCGACTTCACCTTCTTGATGGTCGCCTTGATCACCGCCACCACCGCCTTCTTCCACTCCGTCTCTCCCTGCAGGGCCTCCCCGCAGAAGGCCGCCTGTTCGGCCGGCAGGCCGTCGCAGAACGGGCTGGCGGCGGCCGGTTGGTGGGCCAGGGCTGGTTTTTGGCATGCCACGAGGGTTAATGTGATGAAGGCCAAAGAGACCATTGAGAAAGAAATTTGGTTCCTTAAAGCCATATTTTTTTATATATTTTTTTTAAAAAATAAATGTTTCTCCCTCAAAATGGTCTTTTATTTAATTTTGATGGGGAAACTTATTTATTTATTTATTTAAAAACTTTCTGATTTGAAAGAGAGGTGTAATGAGATATATATACATGTTAGCTAACCAGAAATTGCATGGCTGGATGGGCTTGATTTTCTCTTCATTTCTTTCTCTTCTCCACAAATTATCAGCTCGGAAATTAAGGATCCAGAGGCATTATATTATTAATTAATGGTGCCAATTTTATTTGATTGTTTTTTTTAAAAAAATAATATATTTGTAGTGGTGATTATATAAAGTGTTAGTCAATTTGATTTTTTTGGGTTAAATTTGGTTAATTTTGACCATCTTTGGTATAGAATGACAAAAAAATAACAAAAAAAAAACGGTAGAAAGAATATTTTCCAATAGAATATTATGGGAGATTACATGTGTTTATATACAAGAGTTTCCTAATGACAATAGAAAACTATAATTAATGCACCCTATACAATTATGGTAGCTACCAATATACAATAATATTAAATATAATATTAACATATTTAACATGCTCCCAACGACACTAATGAAGATCGCCGCACGCCCAAGCAATCCCGAAACTCGGAGAAGACAATAGAGGGAAGTCCCTTGGTGAATATGTCGGCATACTGTAGGGAAGAAGGTACGTGAAGGACTCTTTCTCTGACCAAGGGCTACTCTGTCGCGCACAAAGTGAATGTCAACTTCAATATGCTTCGTGCGCTGATGCTTGACGGGATTGGCAGAGAGATACACGGCACTGATGTTATCACAGAAGACTAGTGTAGAGTGGCTCAGAGGTTGCTGGAGTTCCAGTAGAAGATTGCGTACCCAACTGACTTCAGCGACATCATTTGCAACGGCTCGATATTCTGCCTCTACACTGGACCGAGAGGTGGTGAGCTGGCGCTTAGAGGACCAAGAGATGAGATTGTCGCCAAGAAAAATACAGTAACCAGACGTCGATCGGCGAGTATCTGGGCAACCAGCCCAATCTGCATCTGAATATGCCCGCATGTGATCTGTCTGAGAAGGTGAGATGGTGATGCCATGGGTGGGTGTGCCGTGTAGGTAGCGCAGAACGCGCTTCATTGTTGTAACGTTTGGGGCACGAGGATCATGAAGGAAAAGGCATAGCTGCTGAACGGCATAGGTAATATCCGGACGGGTGAAAGTGAGGTACTGCAGGGCTCCCACAATGGAGCGATAGAGAGAGGGATCTGGTGCTGGATCGCTGGTGGCGGCCGAAAGTTTCCCGCGGGTGTCGACGGGTGTAGAAACCGGCTTGCATGCTGTCATGCCGGCCCGTTCGAGGATGTCATAGAGGAACTGAGTCTGAGTGAGGAACAGGCCGTGAGAGGTCCGCTGAACATTGATCCCAAGAAAGAAGTGAAGATCACCCATATCTGTCATAGCAAACTCCCCTTTTAGCCGTCCTGTGAGATGCTGAAGTAGGGCAGTGGATGAAGCTATAAGGACAATATCATCAACATAAAGCAACAGTAGAGCCATGTCCTGTCCGTGACTGTAGACAAACAAGGAGGTGTCGCTCTTACAACCACTGAAACCAAGCGCTGGTACCAAGACCTGAGTGCATAGAGTGCCTTATTTAATTTGCATACATAGTGTGGGCGAGCAGGGTCCTGGAATCCTGAGGGCTGAGCAGTGTAAACAATGTCCGTCAGGTACCCCCTGCAAAAAGGCATTCTTGACATCAAACTGATGAATCGGCCATCCTCTGGACACAGCAAGGCTCAAGACGATGCGTATAGTGGCAGGTTTGACAACCGGGCTGAAGGTCTCGTCATAGTCGATCCCATGGCGTTGAGTGAATCCGCGGACAACCCATTTTCCAGAGATAATGTTGTAGGGCCAAGTTTGTGGCGAAAGAGCCATTTTCCGGAGATAATGTTTTGGTTGGGGGAGGTGGGTACTAAATCCCATGTATGATTATCTATCAAAGCATTATATTCAGCTAGCATAACATTGTACCAGTTAGGATCTTTAAGAGCACTACGGTAGGTAGGGGGTATGGGGGAGATTGTGGCCATAGTGTTGAGATTGAGGATTTGTTTAGGACAGAAGATGCCAGCCTTGGATCGGGTGACCA